TTTTTTTTCTTGAAATTTCTCTTCATTTGGGACTATCCACGCTCCAAAAGCTTTTTTATTATTCTTATAGGCAATGATTGATTTCGATTTTTTTGAAATGTTTTGTTAACCACTTACTTTTTTCTCAGCATTGATTTTAAACCTTTTTAAATGCTAGTTCGATTTTTTCTTTAACCATAGGAAAATCAAGATGTGTGATTTATACTGCAAAGAATGGAAAATGCAAACAGAAATTTGAATCTATTCTTTCCTCTATCTCTTGAAAGTTGGAAAGCTTCTGCTAATGTTAAGTCGCATGTTAAAGGGAGCTGCAACCGGAGGCCAGCAGCTTTCGGCTACCGCCAATCAATTTGTGGACAAAATTGACCCTTTCAGCAAAAGAGGAACAAGTAGGAGAAGGTATGACACTGCTTTCGTTCTCAATCATTATTTCTCTTCAAGTTTGACTGAATGTAGCTCTTATTTGCAGAAGGATCGTGAACAGCAGTCGCTATCATGCAGAAAACGAACCTGAATTGGTTCAGCTTCCATTGATCAAAGGCATGCCATTCGTTGATGTTTATAAGCTTTTCAGTTTCAGTTGAACATGTGGTACCGTCAGTGTGGAGCTATCAAGAAGTAACTTCTTTAGATACTCCCGCAAACGAGCAACCCGCGCTGGTCTTACAGAAACTTGTCCAGTGCCAGAAGATCTTCGATTTTTACGATCCTGTCGCTCAGCTGAAAAGTAAAGAGGTTGGTTGCGTTAAGAATTATCTTCTACTTTTATATCCAGACCTGAATACTTTGGAACACTGTAGGTGGGAACAGTGGCGCAAGAAATTTTTTCACTTACACTTGTGGGACAGACTGTTTCTTTTGTTTTTCGAATGAAATATATGTAATCAAGTCCTACGGGTTATGTTTGATTTATAATTTGTTCGATGATTGAAAGTCGAGTTCTGAATTGTTGGAGATAACTTCTATCAATTGTCGCAGCCTTTTTCATGTTCTCGTCTCATAAGTGTTTGGAACTCTTCTCAGCTTTTACTTTATCCGTGGTTCCTTGTCATTGATTAGGAGAGACTTCAAGCTGGATCTTATTTCTGCAGAAAGCAACTACTTCAACTTGTATTTTTCATTTGAGACCTTGTAACTACGGATGCGCTAATAGTAGGCAACCTTGTTAATGCCAATATGCTAATGTTTCAGAGCCTTTATAATTACCTGCCTAGGTGTTTGTTTCCTTTTTGCGTTTTTTTT